CCTCCTTCTAGACTAGGAAGGTTTTCAAGCCGACTGCTCCTTGGAGGGAACATGCGTCTTCTTATTAATGAGATCCTGGATCTCCCCTTTGAAATTATTCATGAAAGTCATGAGTTCACTTCTAGTGATAGGGGCAGATCCCTCGGCCGCCTGTTGATGATTAAGAGGCTGGCCGACAGGTTTACTAGATCCAACCTGACAATCTTTTCGTTCCTTCTTTTCAGAGGAACGGGTTTGTCGAGCTCGTAAGGTCCCGTCTGGGGCCGTGTGAGTCTCAACCTCGACCTCATTTTTAGTATCCTGGTCACTATAGACCTGAGGGTCGTCCATAGGACACCTCTCGCTCTGGTTTGGTACAAAATGTGAAGTCATCTCAAAAGTACTTTCCACACAGACGGCGCTAAAATGTTTTGGGGTTTTTTTTGATGGCCTGCGGGAGAGTTACAATTTCGGGACTGGTATCCTTGCGCCTGTACCTGCATAACAACGGAGACTCCTTGTGGTGGGAGTTCCGCCTCCGACGGTCAAGTTAGTACTTGTTTAAGGAGTAATAAATGCAGAAAAGTAAAGGTTGGGAGATCTGGTTCCTCTAGGGGAGGAGTGATCAGTGTGTTTAGGTTCTCTAGGTGAGGGTAATTAATTGCTGAATTCTCCTTTAATGAGGATTAATTAGAGTATTTATAACCTTGGGAAACGTGCTAAATACTAGGTCTAGGTTAACTTAGGGCTGACTGGGCTTCCCTTGGAAATTGGGCCTAGGTGGCCGATTGACCTGCTTGGCATATGGAGGCCACGTGGCGTGACACAATTGGTCCATGGTGGGCAGATCAACGCCTGACACGTGGCAGGCTCCTATTGGCCCATGTGGCGGACACATGGCAGGGCCTGATTGGTCCACTTGTCAGATGATGATTGGTAGGGAAAAATCCCCTAATCAATTATTACTTATTTTTTTATCTTTTCTATACAAAATACACATATACTCAAAAAATGATTAGTGTTAAATATGGAAGAGAAATAAAGAGAGATATAAGAGAATTTTGTTACGTTCTATCTCTTATTCCATCTAATACGAGATATATATACATGTATATTATCTAGGGTTCCATCATCGGATAAAATCAAATACCCAACTCTAGAATATACATGGGATAATAGTCATCCACATTTAGATATTTTGTAACACACCCCCTTGGATGACTATAAAACGATAACTAAAATTTACTAGAAAAAACCGTACAAAATAATTTATAATGCGCATAAGATGCTACCTCGTTTAAAACCTTACCAGGATAACCCAGTGGGAAAAACCATGGTTAAGGAAAAAAAAAGTGCAACGCGCATTAACTCCCCCTCATGACTACATCACTTGAGATCTTTAAGATGACGCAATCCAATGACGTAAGCTAACTTTTTGAATGTGGCGGTTGGGAGCGCCTTAGTAAAAAAATCTGCCAAGTTTTCACTCGAGCGAATCTTAAGGACTTTTATATCACCATTCTTCTGCAGATCATGAGTGTAGAAGAATTTTGGTAAAATGTGCTCTATTCGATCACCTTTGATATACCATTCCTTAAGCTGGGCGATGCATGCTGCATTATCCTCATATAAAGTTGTTGGAACTTCTTTCTCGAAGTTTATGCCACAGTTTGTCTGTATATGTTGAATTACAGACCTTAACCATACACATTCACGACTAGCCTCATGGATTGCCAAAATTTCTGCATGGTTAGAAGAAGTAGCTGCAATTGTTTGTTTTATAGAACGCCAAGATATAGAAGTACCTCCACACATAAACACATATCAAGTTTGTGATCTAGCATTATGAGGATCAGACATATACCCTGCATGTGCAAAACCAATCAACCCTGCATCTGCAAAACCAAGTACCCATATCTTTTGTACCTTGAAGGTAACGAAGTACATGCTTAACCCCATTCCAATGCCTTCGGGTTGGGTATGAGCTAAATCTTGCTAACAAATTTACTGGAAATGATATGTCGGGTCGTGTATGACTAGCAAGATACATTAATGCCCCTATTGCACTTAAATATGGTACTTCAGAACCAAGAATTTCTTCATCATTATCCCGAGGTCGGAAGGGATCTTTTTCTACATCAAGTGCTCTAACAACCATAGGGCTACTTAGTGGATGTGATGTATCCATAGAAAATCTTTTAAGAACCTTTTCTATGTATGTTGACTGGTGCATAAGGATTCTATTCTTTAGGTGTTCAATTTGTAACCCTAAGCAAAATTTAGTTTTTCCAAGATCTTTCATTTCAAATTCTTTCTTTAAACACTCCATTTTTATTGAAATCTTTTTAAGAGTTCCAATGATACTTAAATCATCAACATATACTGCAATTATGACATATCTTGATACAAATCTCTTTATAAAAATGCATGGGCATATAGGGTCATTCTTATACCCTTCTTTCAACAAGTACTCACTTAGTCAATTATACCACATGCGCCCTGATTATTTCAATTCATATAGAGATCTATTCAATTTATTGAGTACTGTTCTCGAGAACTTCCATTTGCTGCTTCTGTCTAGGAGTTTCATGTATATGTCATTATCCAGTGGGCCATATAAGTAAGCTGTGACTACATCCATCAAGCGTAAACCAAGTCCTTCTCTTATTGCCAGACTAATTAGAAATCTAAAAGTAGTTGCATCCACCACAGGAGAGTATGTCTCCTCATAATCAATATCGGGTCTTTATGAGAATCCTTGTGCAACTAATCGGGCCTTATATCTTACAATATAACCGTTTTCATTTCTTTTTCGTACAAAGACCCATTTATATCCCACTAATATTACACCTTCAGGTGTACGGACTACAGGTCCGAATACTACTCTTTTTTTGAGAGATTTCAATTCAGTTTCAATTACTTCTTTCCATTTTGGCCAATCACTTCTTTATCTACATTCATCAATGGATTTTGGCTCATGATCCTCATCATCATTCATGACATCTAATGCTACATTTCATGCAAAAACATCATCGACGTCGATTTGGTTTCGGTTCCATGTAATTCCAGACATGATAGAATTTGTTGAAATTTCTTCATTGTCAAGTACCCGAATATCTTTTTCCATCATGTCTAAGGTCTTTTCTCTTCTGAGGGATTTTATCTTTGGAACCGATGGGTCTACCACGCTTCAGGCGTGCTTTAGAATCATTTGCAACTTGGGCTTGTCCTTCTAGGACATCAATTTTAATCGGAGCATTTTCAGCTGGTATATGTGACTTTGTCACTTTCTTTGGGTCAGTAAATGAGTCTGGCAAATGATTTGCTAAGTTTTGTAAATGAATTATCTTTTGGACTTCCAATTCACATTGTTTAGTACGAGGATCTAGATGAGATAATGATAATTCATTCCAACCAATTTCCTTTTGCAGTTGTTTATTTTCTCCCCCTAATGTTGGAAAAACTGATTCATCAAAATGACAATCTGCAAAACGAGCCGTAAATAAATCTCTAGTCGTTGGCTCTAGGTACTTAATTATCGATGGAGATTCATATCCAACATATATCCCTAGTCTTCTTTGAGGGCCCATTTTAGTGCGCTGTGGTGGAGCAATTGGAACATATACTACACATCCAAATATTCTCAAAAGGGATACATTTGGTTCCTAACTAAAAACCAATTATGATGGGGAGAACTTATGATGACTTGTCGGCCTGATGCAAATTACTGCTGCTGCATGTAATATAGCATGCCCCCAAGCAGAAATTGGGAGCTTAGATTTCATAAGTAATGGTCCAGCAATCAATTGTAAACGCTTAATTAACGATTCCGCAAGACCATTTTGTGTGTGAACATGTGCTACAGAATGTTCAACACTAATCCAAATTGACATGAAATATTCATCAAATGCCTGGGATGTGAATTCACCAGCGTTATCAAGACAAATAGCTTTAATAGTAAAGTTTTGAAACTGTGCTCGTAATCTGATCAACTGAGCAAGTAGTCTTGCAAACGCCAAGTCGCGAGTTGATAATAATGATACATGTGACCATCTAGTTGATGCATCTATTAAAACCGTGAAATATCTAAATGGCCCACACGGGGGATGAATTGGTCCACATATATCCCCTTGTATACGTTCTAGAAAAGTCATTGATTCGGAATTTATTTTAGCTGGTGATGGCCGGAGTATTAACTATTAACTAGCCTATTGATCAAGCAGCACATTAAAAATTATTATGAAGAATCTGTTGGCTCTTCAATGAGTGTCCACATGAATTTTCAATTATTTTTCGCATCATTAATGAACCGGGATGGCCTAACCGGTCATGCTAAACTTTGAAGTCATCAGTAAACTTCTGGTTTACTATAGCATGTGATTTAATTGTATCGATTTTTGTATAGTACAAACCAGTGGAGAATGTAGGTAATTTCTCCATAATAAGTTTATTACCTTGAGTTATACTCGTGATTTGAAGGAATTCATTATTTCCTTTACTGTCTCAATATGATATCCATTTTTTCGAATATCTTTAAAACTTAGTAAATTTCTTTGGGACTTAGGGGAGTATAATGCATCAATACTTTCCAATTTTGTTCCCCTAGGCAATAATAAATTTGCTCTTCCGGAGCCTTCTATAATTTTTGTACTACCTGATATTGTACTCACACTAATTTCTTTCATCGCCAATTGTGAAAAATATTTCTTATCGTTAAGTATGGTGTGAGTGGTAGCACTATCAACTAGACATAAATCTTCACCATTGATCGATGATTGAGCTCCAAAGGGATTCATATTCTGATAGAATTAAAGGAACTAAAATAAGATTAACTAAACCAAATAACTTAAATTAATAAATGACTGATAATAATGAAATATGCAAAACATAAAAATGTACAAAAACATAAATTGTCCAAAAACAAATGTTCCATAAAGCATAAAGTCATAATACTACGATAAAATTCTATAATAAATGCAAGATAATTAATAGAGTTTATTCGCCAATGGGACATAATTTATTCAATTATTTTCTTCAGGATTAGGAAAGAAATCAGCCGCTTCCAGGTGAGTTGTATCACCGTAATCAAAATCACCTTCGCCATCCTCGTACACCAAATTTGTTTCCACTTTCTTTCCTTTCTGTTTGATTGATTGTTGATAAAGGTCTACTAGATGTTTTGGTGTACGACACACACGACACCAATGGTCTTTTCCTCCACAACGGTAGCATATATTTTCATATTTATCCTTCTCGTTCTTATTTCCATCTTTATTGTCCCACTTTTGGTGAGAGTATGTGTTCTTAAAATGACCACCTCGATCACGATCATGTCCACATCCGCGGCCGCGACTACGACCTCGACCACGACTGCTGGCATGATCTCTAGCCTTTTTCTCTTTCCCACTATGGGATGTCGCATTCGCTTCAGGGAATGGAGTAGAGCCAGTTGGGCGTGATTCATGATTTTTCATTAATAGTTCATTATTTTGCTCAGCCACAAGGAGACAAGATATCAAATTAGAATATTTTGAAAAACCCTTTTCACGGTATTGTGTCTGCAGGACAACATTATTTGCATGAAAAGTAGAGTATGTTATTTCTAACATTTTCTGCATCCGTGATTTTCTCTCCACATAATTTTAATTATGATGTAATTCTAAACATGGCTGAGTTGTATTCACTCACAGACTTAACGTCTTGTAATCCTAAATGTAACCAGTCATAACGAGCTTTTGGTAACATCACAGTTTTCTGGTGGTCATACCTTTCCTTTAGATTGCTCCAAAGGACTTGTGGGTCTTTAACAGTCAAGTACTCAGTCTTAAAGCCTTCATGAAGGTGATGGCGAAGAAATATCATAGCTTTAGCCTTATCCTGGCTTGTTGCAGTGTTATTTTCTTTAATAGTATCACCAAGTCCTTTTGCATCTAAATATATTTCAGCATCTAACACCCAAGACAGATAGTTTCCAGTAATATCAAGAGCAACAAATTCGAGTTTTGCAAGGTTTGACATGATTCACTGATATATAAAACAATATTATAAATTAAGAACTACGATGAAATATATATATATATATATATATATATATATATATATGTATATATATATATGTGTGTATATATATATATATATATGTATATATACATTGTATATATACATACATATATGTATATATGTATATATATATATGTATATGTATATATATATGTATATATACATATGTATATATACATATATATATACATATACATATATATATATATATATACATATATATATATGTGTATATATACATATATATATATATACATATATATATATATGTGTATATATACATATATATATATATATATACATATATATATATATATATATATATATATATATATATATATATATATAGGAATAGGATCATATGAGACCACCCTCCCTTATGTGAGAACCCTATTTTACGTGAGGATATATTACAACCGTTGGATCAATTACATCCAAGGGTCATAATACAACCCGGTAAAACAAACAAAACAAAACAAATTTATTTCAAAATTTATTTCCTACGTTTTTTTTCTCTCTCCTGCTTCTTCTTTTTCGCTCATTTTTCTCTCTCCTCCTTCAATTCTACGGTGTTCTACTCTGTTGCTCTCTGATTTTTCATCACAACTTCTTCAATCTTCATCAATTTTCGTTAGTGTGAGTCTATTGTTTATACATTTGCTATTTTTCAATTAATTTTAGGTTACATTCATTGTTTTATTTTCGTTTTGATTTTCGTTTAATTTTTTCCGATTTTAGCTCATTAATTTAACATGCAATGTGTCGATTATGTTTTATTTTGTTATTTTTTGTTGATTTTAGCTTTATTTTCGTTTTCTTGAGTGATTATTCAGTAAATTTTAGTTTTATTTTGCCTGAATTTTGGTTTTACTAACTGTTCTTGTTTTGGTTTTGTATTTGCGATATTATGTTGTTTGTTGTGATTTTTGCTTGATTTTGTTGCGATTTATGATTGATTTTTGTTTTGCTTTTCGTTTAATTTTAGCTCATCTCTGATTTTAGGTTAATTTTCGTTTACTTTGTTCTGATTTTTGATTGATTTTGTTGCGATTTTTGATTGATTTTCGTTTTATGTAATTTCTCAAAAATTTGTAAAATGTTGTTTGTTTAGTATCGGAAACAACAATTTGTAAAATTGATAAATAAATGGTGATAGTACAGTAAGATGCTATCAAAACCAAAAAAATCTATTTATTTATGATAGAAACATAGCAGCAAAGCGCTAATCCTGAAGGTGTCACTGCATTCTGATGTAGCCCATATTGTTCTGACAATCCTCTAGTATTGTATAAAAGTAATAGCTCCTCTGCTTCTTGTCCAACATTAACTCAAGGCTAGAAATTAGGTAATGTTATCTTTCGATATTCTTTTTGTGATCTACATTGTTAAACTGTCTGGGTTTTGGATGATATTTGAAAAGGTCTGGAGGAAGGCAACTAAGTCAGCCCCGTAGATGATTCTGTGATCCGCTGTGACATTCACCTGCACAAAACATTTAACTGCTTGAGTCAAATTATTCAAAAAGCCATCCAAATATGATCTTGTCTGCTGGACCCTTGAATGTTAAGCTGTTAGGATTTCAGATATGAGTATGTTAAAACCCAGGCGAGAGTAAAATTTGGAAAATAATTCTAGTCGTCATATGCTCAAACTGTCAAACACTTATTTTCAATAGCACAACCTTAATAGCAACAATACTATTGCAGACAAGATACATTGCTCAAAAATTTTGCTTGTCACTTAAAGGGCATCTATGTTTGATTGCTCATTTAAAAAATGAGCATCTATGTTTTTTTCTCATTTGACAAATGAGTCTATGATTTTGCTCATTTGTATAAAATTACCAACTAATTATTTACTTTTTTTTTAATTGTTTTTGCTCATTTGGGAGTGTTGAATGTGTTATATTATCTAACCAGTAAAGTCGATGGTTCCGAGTCTTTTGTAAGGTCCTCCATGATGTGTAATTGCACCTTTATGTCATGTAGTCTACCTAACTTGCTGAATTTTGTTTAATCTCTTGACCTTACTGAGCTTTTCTAGAGCGCTCTATCACTATTCACTAGTTGTTACACTACCTTTCCATCATATTCCTTTCGGGAAAGGACTTCTGGGGCAATATAGGCCGGTGTTCCTACCGTCGATTTTGGTTGAGAATGTAGCACTGCAGACTATTATAATTAACAAAGATTAGTCATGATTAGTAATTGATTATAAACAAAATGATAGATTTAGAGGAGTTTCCCTGCCTTAGAGTAACTAAAGTCGCAGATTTTGAGACGCGATTCTGAACTGCCATCTAAGAGAGTGTTTTCCAGCTTAAGATCTCAATGACAAATTTGCTGCATTCAGGAAAAAAAAAGCATTATTAGCCTTGTTTATGTGTATAAAAAGCTTAATTCATTTGAAATTAAGCTTTAATAACAGAACAAAAATCTAATATCAGAGAATAAATATAATGAAATGTACTCCATAATTACTCATTCTCTCCTGTTCGTTTTGTCATTTATGGTCTTGCAGTAAATGGAATTTACTCATTTAAGTCTATGTTTTTGCTCATTTGACAAATGAGTATCTATGGTTTTGCTCATTTGTATAAAATTACCAACTAATTATTTACTTTTTTTTAATTGTTTTGTATGAGCAGGAGTCTTTTGAAAAGGAGCATGCTGCTAATGTTGGTTCAATAGGGCCTGCTGCTGATGTTGGTTCAGCAGGGCCTAATGTTGGTTCATCAGAGGTATTAGTTGGTACTAAGGTTAAAGGTAAAAAGGTTGAAAAAGGATTGAAAGAAAAACAAAAGATTAAGCTGGAGGAGACGAAATCCAGCAACGAAGGGGAAGATTTGAAGTCTCATGTTTATGGGACATTACATAGTCGGATGTCCCCTTCATCCATAGTTCAAGTTATTGAAAAATGTTTAGAAAATCAGTTAAAAGCTATTAGAGCAATAGGATTCGGGTCTATGGAGTTCTTGAAGGTGACCCAACTGCCTTTGCAGCTGGGTTTATGGTTGGTTCATCACTTTGATGCTAACACATGCTCTTTAAACATTCCAGATTCTGAACCTTTTTGTATCACTGAAGAGCATGTGCATCAAGTACTTGGGCTGCCAATGGGTGGCATAGAAATTGACAAAAATAATTTTTCCAGAGATAAGAAAGTGATTTAGCAATGGAAGAAGCAATTCAAAAGCAACTCACTCTCTATCAAAATAGGGGAGCTGAAAGATTTTCTGAAAGAGCATAACTTAGCTGATCTTATGTTCAAAAGGAACTTTGTAGTGCTATACGTTTCTACATTGATGGATGGTAAACTTTTTATTTTTATTTTGCTTATTTTTAGTTATAGTTAGCACTTAGCAGTTGTGTGCTATATATAGCAATTATATTATCTAAGTTGTTGGTCATATATGTATAGAATTAGTTACTTGAAACTATACATCATTAGATAGAGACTATTGACACTTTCAGAATAAGATATATATATATATATATATATATATATATATATATATATATAATATATATATATATATATATATATATGTATTTATCTTTTGTTCTATGTATTTATCTTTTGGGCTATCTAAGTAGTTTGTATAATTTGATGGATTATTGTTGTTAGTCAATGATGAGATGGGTGAACAAATTTGGAATAGGATTTGGTACATACTTCATATTAACATACTTGTCGAAAAATTTCAAGTTATATTATAAATTAATTATATCATCAGGAAAAGGTGGAGAGTCAACATCATGGTTTTAAATTTTATAGGAGTTTGCTCATTTTCAATTTTGTTTGCTTATTTATATTATATTTTGTTCATTTAAATTTCCTTTTGCTCATTTTTCTTTTGTTTTGCTCATTTTTTTTTCAGGGAAACAAAATGTGAATATCAATTCTGATATTCTCACATTTCTTTTGATGTTGATAAAATAAAGGACTTGAATTGGTGCAAGTATATCCTTGATTCACTTGTGAAGGCCAAGCTTTTCTGGGAAGAACGTCAAACTCGTTCTTTTCCTGGGTCTTTACTGTTTCTTATGGTATTACTTTAATTTTTGTTGTTTTTTTAATGTACTATTTTTTACTTATTTGTTGATTTTTAATTTACTAATTATTTTTTCTTACTTGTTTGTAGCTATTCTATGTATTAATTTTTATTTGTTTAATTTTAATGTACTAATTTTTTCTATCTTACTTGTTTGTAGCTTTTATACGTTGATCAGTTTGTCATTGAGGAAGTTAGAGCCAAACGAGAAACTCCAGTTCTCAAAGGTTGGACAACCAATATGTTGTCAAGTCGTGAGAAATTGGAAATTTTTAAGGAGAGGCTTGGAGTTTTTTATAAAAATCAGAAGCTTGTTGGTCCTTCTGGCAGCAAACAACCAAAACTGGTATTTCACTTGTAACCAATACTTAGTTTTTCTATGTCTTTGGCATTGCTTGAAGAATTGAATTGAAACAAATCTTGCTTTAAGGAAAATGATGCAATGTGGTGCTCTTTATAGCACATTAATGGACCTCCTAAATCAGCAAAAAAAATATTTGCTCATTTGTCAAATGAGCAATTAATTTTTTCTCATTTAATACTGTGTGATTTGGATGAAAATTACACAATTATGTAATTTTTTTTTTTGTTTTTTTTGTTTTTGCTTGATTTTAGGAACAATCTGATCCAATTCATACAAAAAATGAAGAAATTGAACAAGATCTGAAGAAGGTATTTATATGACTTTTCTGGAAACTTATATTAATTTTCTCATTTTTATATGACTTTGCTCATTTTTTGTTTTTGTTTTTTTTCCCTAATTTTTGTTATCTTTTACTTAATTTGTGAATTTGTATTGTTGTTTTGTGAATTTGGGGATTGTCGTGCGATGAAAGAGTAGGGGTTTAAAAGGTTGGGGGTGTGCGAGTTGTTATCAGCCCAATTCCTATCCTCCCTAAGATAC